ATAATCTCAAGAGAGCAGTTTCTTACATTGGTATTAACTCAGACCCATGAAAAATCCATTTCTCTTTTTTCATTTTGCCAATGCAAATTGCTACACTAGTGTTGGCTTTAATGAAAGAATTGAGTTTGCAGGGGTCATTAAAAGGGAACGAATAAAGTGAGGTCCCTGAGATGGGACTTGAGGACGTTGAGAACTATGGGGCTGCCATTTATTGACCATTTAATCACAGGATCAGGAATGACGTGACTCTGATACCAATAGTATCCAGAACCCACGTGAAATTCGACAAATAACATCTTTTCTAGGAGTCCCTTTGCCCTAGACCACAGTCGGGCCAGCGAGAGGTTTTGAAGAGGAAACGTGTTGGGCAAGAGCCACAGTGTCTGTCCCAGAAAACAATCTGAGTGATCATTAGTAACATTCGAGTAGTTACTTGGTATTTTAAATGGGAATAAGGATTCGGGGGAAACAACGCCACGCCTGAGAACAGAGAGGAGCTGGGGTGAGGAGGCACTGAAGAGGTGCTGGCAAAGCAGCCCACGTGGCTGGGGTTTACTTAGGAAGGTGCGCTTGAGATTCGGGTTCCAGGACGGGCTGTCCACCATCTTTGCTCTGTTCAGCTGTGGCTGCTTCACGGCTGCTGTGGAGGCCTCAGCCGGAAACTGGGCCAGGAAAGGAGGCCTTCAGGCTCAAGGATGGCCACGGGCTTTGGCGACAGTGGTATCGTATCAGTGGAGGATGGGAGTGGCAGAGCCTGGCTGGCAGGGACAGGAGATGGACGGTGACACCATGAGGGAACTCTAGACATGGGAAGCTCCTCAGTCAGCTTCTACTCCAACAGTGTGACATGATGTTTTCCCTCTCTCTCTTTGCCCTGTTATAGTTTAGTGGAAAATTTCGGATACACACAAAAGGAGAGAGGATGGTACAATGAACCCCCATGGACCCATTGCCCAACGGCAATAATCATCAACTCATCAACCCAGTGATTTTTAAACTGTGTTTAGCCTCTAAATCTGTTCAAATAAAACCTTACGCGTGTGTAAGTGAATAAGGTTATGTAATATTAGCGTATGTTTTTCTCCCTATCCCTTTCTCCCATTCAAGCAGACATTCAGAGAGTAGCTTGCAATATGTAAGACTTCAAAGTGTTTTCAAGGGAGGGGAAGAGCAGGGGAAGGTCTGCATTAGGCTGCCAGGGCTGCAAAGTACCCCGGAAACTTCTACCTCACACTTCTGGAGGCTAGAAATCTGAGATCAAAGTGTGGACAGGCTGGGCTCCCGAGGGCTGGGAGGGCAAGATTTGCTCCAGGCCTTTCTCTAGCTTGTGGATGGCCTTCCTCTCCCTGTGTCTCTTCTCACTCTCTCTCCTCTATTCACATCGGTGTTCAGACTTCCTCTTCTTAGAAGGACACCTGTCCTATCGGAGTAAGCCTGAGCCCAGTCCTCTCATTTTAACTTGACTGCATCTGTGAAGGTTCTGTCTCCGAAGAAGGGCACATTATGAGGCACTGGAGGTTAGGAGTTCAACGTGTGAAACTTTGGAAGTGGGAAGCAGACACAAATCAACCCAAACCAAGGACTCACTGGCGACTGAATGAATGTCTTAAAGAAACACAAAGGGTGATTCCCCCAGGCTATGAAGGGTTTTTTCAAGAGGGAGAATGGGCTGGAAAGAAGGACATGTGGGATGAAGAGAGAAAGGAGACATGGGTCTGCTTCCAAAAGGCACTCATGTCCCTAGAGTGGCAGAGAATTGGCAGAGAGATAGTTGGGTCCACAGGGGCCATGGACAGATGTGGCTTGCTAGTGGCCCCCTTGTCCCAGAAGTGAGCACTACCTGACAGGAGAATCCCAAGATTATTTGAGGTGAATACTACATCCAGCTTCTGGGATGGGCCCTGGGAGTTATAAATTCACTCAGAGATTTGGAAAATTAGAGGATTGGTATTTTCTACACCCCCTGAGTTGGTCAACTCAGAGTTACACCTGGCAAACATCAAACAGATCAATGCAGGACTGTTCTTGGTGGAGCTCACCCCTGGCCCTTGCAGCATCCCAAGGGAATCCCAAGGAGCCCTGGGTTCCAGAGAACTCCATTTTACCACACTTAGGGTACCTCTCCTCGCTACTTAACACACAAGGGCACCTAGGCTCAGAGAGGAGAAGGGTTGCCCACAGGCAGGCTCAGGCAGGTTAGCGGCAGAGCCAGCCTAGAGCTCAGGGCTCCTGATTTCCACCAGATGCTTTCCTGGTGGTCTCCTCAAAGATTTCTCAGGGAGGCTGGGGCTACATTTTTTTTTTTTAAATTAGCTCTAGGATATGTGCATCAGCTGGAAAGAGAAAGGGAGAGGGAGAAGAAAAATGAGAAAGATCTCCCAGGAAGGATGACCACACCACAATCCCTTCTCCTCCATTGACCTCTCAGGCTTTGGGGCATGATGCACATGCGCCCAGTGCGCTGTTCAAGCCATGTTTGGGACTCGAATTGCACTGTTGGCCATATGGTATCCAGCTGCCTTTACCACCATGCCACCGGCTGGCCCACTGCTTTGATCCATATCCATGTCTCATCTGGAAGGTATATCCATGTAACTGATGCCCTGCGTAACTGATGGAAGGCCATGTGGGAATCGAATGCCATAACCACCATGTCCCCTGATGGCCCCTTTCAGCATCTTTAATACATTCCTCCTGCTGTAGCTAGTTAGAGTGGTTCAGTTCTCTGTAACTAACCCTCATCAAAGGAGGAATTGATGCCAGAACGGTGGCAAACCACAGAATTTTAAGGTGATGAGAATCTAAGATTGGATGTCAGCTCTGGTTGGACTGGAAGGTGACAATGATCCAGTAACATTAGGAAACAGCAATCTGCTTGTCTGTATCTCACAGGAGCAACAGTTATCACCCTCTAGTTGGTCTCCTAGGATGAAGGTAAGGTTTTAGAGGACAGAGTGCCTGCTGGGAAAGACCACTCTGGTAAGAATAAGAAATGACGGGGCCAACAGGTGGCATGGTGGTTAAGGACGCTGGACTCCCACATAGTTGACCGCGGCTTGCTTTCTCACTTTCCCTTTCTCTCTCTCACTCTGTCCCCCTCTGGTCAAATGAAAATAACTAACTAACTAAATAAATAAAGTTAAATAATATTATTCTTAAAAAAAAAAAAGAAAGAAAGAAAGAAAGAAATGGCAAAATTAGACTATTATTTTCTTCCTTGTAGAAAAATAAAGCTTGGAGCGAGTTGGTGGCACATTGGTGGTGTAACTGAGCCCACATTGGAGGCGTCCTAGACAGGCATCTAGGGACCTCCTTGAGCATGGCAGGGTGCGTGTGTGTGCCAATGGTCTGGGCTGACTCAGCCTAGGGGTGATCGTGGCATGAGAATCCTATTGGGGATACCTGTCTCTTTGCCTCTTTCTTTCATGGAAATAAACTTAAGAAATTTAAAATGTATAGCTTTGGGGCCGGCAGGTGGCATGGTGGTTAAGGGCGCTGGACTCCCACATGGTCGACCACGGTTCAAGTCCTGGACCTGGCAGCTTGCTTTCTCACCTTCTCTCTCTCGCTCTCATACTCACGCTGTCTCTCTCTGGTCAAATTAAAACAAATAAATAAATGAAGTCAAATGAAATAATTGTGTAAAAAATGTATAGCTTGAGACCAGCAGTTGGCATAATAGCTTTGTCGCTGGACTCGCATGTAGTCGACCATAGTTCAAGTCCCAGACCTGGTGGCTTAAACTCATGCCAGGCACGTGTGCATGCGTGCCCAAGATCCTGAGAAGAGAATGAAGGAGAAGGGATTGTGGCATGACCTTCCCCCCTGGGGGGTGATTTCTCGCTTTCTGTCTCTATGTCTCTCTTTCTGGCAAGTGCACACACCCTATAGCAAAAAAAAACAAAACAAACAAACAAACAAAAAAACCTCCAAAAAATAAAAGTATAGCTTTATAGGGATATAATTGACAAATAGTAGAGTGCACATATTCAATGTGTACTATTTATTTTTTTAATAATTATTTTATTTAACTTTATTTATTCATTTATTTTTAAAATTTGACCAGAGAGAGACAGAGAGAGAGAGCGAGAGAGAGAGAATGAGTGAGAAAGCAAGCCGCCAGGTCTGGGACTCGAACTGCAGTTGGCCATGAGAATGACTAGCGCCCTTAACCACCACGCCACCTGTCGGCCCCCAATGTGTACTATTTGGTAACTTTTGACAATTATACATGCACAGCCCCCTCCTCTAAGAAATAATCACCACATTCAAGATAATTCAATATAATGAACATTCACTACCCACAAGGGCTCCTTTTACAATCAGTCTCTCCTGCTCTTCCTTGCTCCTAAATATCCTGTCATTTCCAGACAAACAATGATCTACTTCTTTCACTCCGTATAATACAATTATTTTAAGATCCATCCATATTGTTAAATTGATAATAACTCATCTGTTTTTACTGCTGAATATTATTTCATTACAAGGCTATACCATGGATTGCTTTGCTCTTCACTTGCTGGATTTGAGGTGGTTTTTAGTTAGGAATAACACTCCTACAGATATTAGCAGTAGGCCCTTATGTGGACATAGGTACATAAGCTTTGCTTTTCTTGGCTGACTACCCAGGAATGAAGTGGGTAGATTATATGGTGTATATATATGCTTATCTTTTCAAGAAACTGCCCAGCTGTTTCCCAGTGGTTATATCATTTCAGGTCCCTACCAGCAGTGTAAGAGCATTCATTTTTCCATCTCCTGTTCAACTCTATGCTCACTTCAGCTTTAGCCATTAACAGGTATGTAGCTGGACCTCCTTGTAATTTTCATGTTTTCCTCAGTGCCTAATGATGTTGAGCACCCTTTCATGTCCTTATGTGTTATTTCTTTTCAGCCATTTTTGGTGAAGCATCAGCTCGAATCTGTGGTCCATTTTTATTGAGTTGTCTCTTTAGAGCATCCTTTAGATGAGGGGACTTCAAAAAGTTCATGGAAAAGCCAGCTTTGCGCAGTGGCAGTATCGTAGCCAATGAGGTTTATCCGAGGCGCGATTATTGCTAATTGAAAAAGTTCATGGAAATGGAATTAATGTAAGTTTATTTTGGTGCATAAAAACTTTGGAATCCATGCATAGTTTTTTCATAATAGATAATTTTCATCAACTTTTTGAAAATGCTACATATAAATCTTTTATTAGATACATGATTTGCACAAAATTTCTCAGTCTATGGTTTCTGTTTTTATTTATTTAACAATACTTTTGGGGGGCTGGCAGGTGGCATGGAGGTTGAGGTGCTGGACTCCCACATGGTTAACCACAGTACAATACCTGGACCTAGTGGCTTGCTTTCTCACTTTTCCTCTCTGTCTCTCTTTGGTCAAATTAAAAAATAATAATAATAGGGACCACCAGTTAGTGTAATGGCTATGTCGCTGGACTCCCATGTAGCCGACTGCCGTCCGAGTCCTGGACCCAGCGGCTTAAACTCACGTGCGTGAGTTTATTATTATTACTATTTTTAAATTCACTACAGGGCATATGTGCTCACCAGAAAGAGAGAGTCAGAGAAAGAGAGAGAAAGAGGAATAGAGAGGGAAAGTGAGAAAGTAAGTCTCTAGTTCCAGGACTTGAACAGCTGTTCACCATGCGGGTTGAGTTAATTTTTTAGTTAATTTTGAGTTAATTTTTTTTGTGTTTATAGTGTGAAGGAAAGATCAGCAAATTTTTTCCTAAAGGGCCAATGATAAAGATTTTAGTGTTGGGGCTGGCAGGTGGCATGGTGGTTAAGGGTGCTGGACACTCCCACATGGCTGACCACAGTCCAAGTCCTGGGCCTGGCGGCTTGCTTTCTCACTTTCTCTCTCTCTCTCTCTTTTTCTCTCAAATTAAAATAAATAAGTGAATAAATAAAGTTAAATAAAATAATTCTTAGAAAAAATACTTCAGTCTTTGTAATCCTCAGGTCTCTATCACAGCTATTGAATTCTGTCACTGTGGTATAAAAGCAGGCAGAGAGTGTGGCTACATTTCTTTCCCTTTGTTTTGTTTTATTTTTGTTTGTTATGGGATGTGTGTACTTGCAGGAGAGAGTCAGAAAGAGAGAGGGAAAGTGAGAAAACACCCCCTAGGGGGTGTGGCCATGCTGCAGTCCCTTCTCCTCCATTCTCCTCTGGGAGTTTAGGCATGTATGGGCACACGCCTGGCAAACTTTTTAAGCCTCTGGGTTTGGGACTCAAATAGCACTGTTGGCCATGTGGGATCCAGTCACTTTAACTACCATGCCACCAGCTCATCCAAGTCTGGCTGTTTTTCAATAAAATTTTATTTACAAAAACAAGCAGTAGCCAGGCACAGTGATGTGTGTCCATAATCTCAGTAACTCGAGAGGCTGAGGCAGGAGGTTGGGAGCTTGAGGATGGCCTCAACAATACAGAGAGACCCTGTCTTAAAGATAGTTGGGTGCAGGGACCAGTAGTTAGCATAATGGCTATGTCGCTGGACTCCCATGTAGCCGACCGCGGTTCGAGTACGGACCTGGTGGCTTAAACTCACGCCGGGCGCGTGTGCGTGCCCAAGATCCCGAGAGGAGAACGGAGGAGAAGGGATTGCGGCGTGGCCATCTTCCTTGGAGGATGATTTCTCGCTTTCTGTCTCTCTGTGTCTGGCGAGAGCTCGCAGAAACCTCTCAAAAAAAAAAAAAAAATAGTTGGGCGCAGTGGCACATGCCTGTAATCCCAGCTGGGAGATTGTAGCAGGAGGATCAGAAACACAGAGACCCTGTCTAAGAAAACAAAAGAAAACCACAAAGAGGCAGGAGTCTGCAATCAGCTCATTAGCTAGACTTTTCTGATCACTTCTTTTTTTTTTTTTGAGAGGTTTTCGCTATAGGGCGCATGCGCTCGCCAGACAGAGAGAGACATAGAGACAGAAAGCGAGAAATCACCCCCCAGGGGGGATGGTCACGCCGCAGTCCCTTCTCCTCCATTCTCCTCTCGGGATCTTGGGCACGCACGCACATGCGCCCGGCGTGAGTTTTAAGCCACCGGGTCCGGGACGCGAACCACGGTCGACTACATGGGAGTCCAGCGACATAGCCATTACGCTAACTGCTGGTTCCCTCTGATCACTTCTTGAAGTCTCTAAACCCCACTGAGTCTCCCTAGGCAGCAGAAGTGGCCCCATCCATTCTTAACTACTGAATTTGGTCCTAGCTCACCTATCAATCTTTAGTGCAAAGACCCTTGCAAAAGGATGTCCGTTTTCTCATGCCCCACTCCTGCCTTTCCTCGCTGCTTTCAGACCTCCAAGTAGGGAGGTATTCCTGTATGCCTGAGATATCCCTGTGTGCCGTGTACACAGTCAGGACCCTGGGCCGGCAGAGGACTGCGAGGTCACTCAGCTTCAGCCTCCACCTGCCACGTGCTCTTGATCAAGTCACTCCTTTCTTTCTCTGAATCCCTATCTGTGGAGGGGAAAATTACTCTAACACGCTCAATGTTATTGAGGAGTTAAGAATAAGATAACACATGGGGCCAGCAGTTGGCATGGTAGTTAAGGTGCTGGACTCTCACATGGTGGATCTAGGTTTGAGCCCTGCACCTGGCAGCTTGAAAATTACACCAGGCATGTATGAGGTGGGGCCCAAAATTCCTGGAGGAAATGGAGAAGGGATTGCGGTGTGGCGATCCCCCTAGGGGTAATTTCTCACTTTCCCTCTCACTGTCCCTCTTTGTCTCTCTCCAGCAAGCACATACACCCTATGGCAAAATCGTAGAAGAAGAAGAGGAGAAGGGATTTTGATGTGGCCATCCTCCCTGGGAGTCATTTCTTACTTTTCCTCTCTCTGTGTCTCTCCAGCAAGTGCACACATCCTATGGCAAAAACCAAAAAAAAAGAAAAGAAAAGAAAGAAAGAAAAATAAGACAATACTTTCCTTACCCACCTGTTCACTCTCTGCCAGACACTTCCAAAGCTATCTTATCCTTTTTTAAAGAATTATTCATTTAATTCCATTTGTTATTATTATTATTTAATTTGACTAGAGACAGAGAGAGAGAAAGGGAAAGCGGGAAAGCAAGTCACCAGGTCCGGGACTTGAACGATGGTCAGCCATGTGGGTATCCAGTGCTCTTATCCACCACACCACCTGCTGGCCCCAAAGCTATCTTATCCTTGGACAGGTTCTTCTGGTTTGTTTTTTCAAATAATTACTATAAGGTGCACGTGCAGGGTGCATGTGCTCACCAGAGTGATTGAGAGAGACAGACAGGGAAGGTGAGAAATCAGCCCCCTGGGGGAGATGGCCACACCGCAATCCCTTCTCCATCTCCTTTCAGAATTTTGGGCATGCACACAATGTTTTTTGTTTGTTTGTTAGTTTCTTTCTTTCTTTCTTTCTTTCTTTTTTGGAGAGGTTTTTACTAGAGGGCTCATGTACTCGCCAGAAAGACAGAGAGAGACAGAGAGATAGAAAGCGAGAAATCACCCCCCAGCAGGGATGGCCATGCCACAATCCCTTCTCCTCCATTCTCCTCTCAGGATCTTGGGCATGCACGCACCCGCCGCCTGCGGGAGTTTAAGCCACTGGGTCCAGGACGTGAACCGCGGTTGGCTACGTGGGAATACAACGATGTAGCCATTACGCTTACTGCTGGTCCCCGCAGTGTGTTTTTCAAGCCGCTGGGTCTGAGACTCAAATCATGCCATTGGCTGTGTGAGGTCTCTCCACCTTAACTCTGAGGCCACTGGTTTGCCCAGTTTTAAAATCTTTCTTTCCTTCTGCAAGCACTATACAAATACAAAGTATTATTACTGTTTTCTTTTTAAAGTAATTCTAGAAAGCTCAGCCCCAGGATTTCACAATCTGTCACTGTCCCTCAGCGCCCTAGCCTGTTGCCAGGGAGAGAGATTATCTGGGTTTGGGGAAGGTCAGCCAGCCCCAGCACGATCTCTCACACAGCTTGGCTTGCCATCCCCAATCACAGAATTTAAGAGTCAGCCACACAGAGGCTGGGCAAGCCCACTGCAAGGCCAGAGCAGGCACAAAGAAGAGAAACCACACTCGGGCACAGTCGGGCTCACCAGGGCCTCTCTAATCTCTGCCCACGCCTGCGGGAGAATGCAGCTCTCCAGTTTGCAGGGCAGGCAGCCTGCAGTCTGTCTAAATCCTGAGAGAGGGAACATCTTTGAGAACAGAGACCTCATCTACATGGCCTTGGGGGCCCTGCTTTGAACACAGCAGAGATCAAAGGCAGATCTCCAGACTACCAGAGGAGACGGTACGCGCACAGCACAGACGTACGAATACTGATCACAGACATCGATAAATGTATGCAAGAGCTTGAGACCCAGAGGTGTGCCTGATTCCTCACCAACTTCATAAATGAACCTCTGGATTTGCTAAGAACAAGTTTATTAACTTGCTATTATTAATATCTCCCAGGCCAGCCTGTGGCATGGTGGTTAAGATGACTGGATCGCACATGGTCAGCCATGTGGTTGGAGTCCTGGACCCAGCGGCTTGACAGATATGTTCATGCATGCTCAGAGTCTCAAAAGGAGAAGTGGAGAAGAAATGGCAGCGTGACTATCCTCCATGGGGGGGGGTGCTTCCTCTCTTTCTCTCTCTGTCTCTGGAGAACGCACACTTCCTCTGGCAAAATTTTTAAAAAATTTAAAAAAGGAATGCCCCCCATTTTGTTTAAGGTTCATAATTTGAAAAGGATCATCATTTCATTGTCCTGTCCTTCATAAGAAGTAAACATGAGAGGAAGGAGAGCATTATACCATGTGGGACACTGCAGTTCAGAGAGGGGAGTGACTTGTCAGAGGTCACACAATGCAAGTGAAAGCTGTGGAGAGTCTCCAGGAAGGGAGATTGGCCCTGCCCACCCACAGAGAGATGGCTGGTAGGGTGAGCTCTCCCTCGGTCCCATGCCCCTATTCTTCCTTTCCTTTTCTTCTTCTTCTCCTTCTCTTCCTCCTTCTTCTTCAGTTTGCTGTAGGGTACATGCAGTTGGTGGAGAGAGACAGAGAGAGATGAATATAGGAAGAGGGAAAGTGGGAAGTCTCCCCCAGCTGGGGGAAGAGGGGATGCCATGCCTCAATCCCTCTCCTCCTTTCTCCTTTTGGGA